TATATATATATATATATATATATATATATATATATAAGTTTCCAACCAAACAAGTGGATTAAATACTTTCATTAGACGAAGGATGTAATGGTTTATCATTATCTAAAAGGTATAGAGTTATGGAGCTTATGTTAAACATTAAGCTTAACCACTTTAGCATCTACTAACTACATTTATGTAGATTATCGTAAATGATTGCTTAGGAGATTTTACTAATCCCACCAATTTGTCATTCCAGAAGTAAAGTGCTTAGAATGTTTTTTTTCTAACTGTTGTTGAATATGCTCAATAATGGATCAGAAACCAATGAAACACATAGAGATGCACTCAAGTATAATCAAGTATGGGCTTGATAAATCTTCATCGGTATATTACGAATATAAAAAGTAAGTGGGTTCTCAAAAGAGAAAACATACATGAATGAACATGCATCAAGAATCCAGATTCAGTTGCTTATTTTTTTTCTAATTGCACAATTATCCTTCCATGTATATGAGATTTTGGTAAAAAAAAAAATATCATCTACGTGTTTTATATTATTATATAATAAATAAATTGTTGCTTTATATTATTATATATAATCATTTTATTTCAATTTAAAAAATCACTACTAGAAAAACAGCCTTTTACGACGCGCAATGCGTGTTGTAAAACGCTCAGACGACGCGCAAATATGTGTCAAGGAAGGCCCTGTCATAACGAGAGACGACATGCTTTTGTGCGTCCTCTATAGACGACGCACATTTACGACGCGCATTTACGACACACATTTACGATGCTCATTTACGACACGCATTGCGTATCAAGGAAGGCACTGTCATAAAGGAAGACGACACACATTTGCGTGTCGTAACCTTACGACGCGTATTTAGGACACACAATGCGTATCATTATAGCCCCTGTCATAAATGAAGATGACACGCATTTGTGTGTCATAAACTTCAACAACCATTTACAATATGCATATACGACATGCTCTTATGATACTATTTTATGCATAAAACAAAAATATAGAAAAAAAATATATACCAAAACAATCAATTTCATCCAATAACATCATGTCAAAAAATTGTAATACAATTATATTAAAGGGATCTGATTGTACATTGTTATTAAGAGGTTTTCCGTAACTATATAACCTAATACTACACTGCTACTAAGGGACACCTTGTTTCAGATATCATGTAAAAAAAATCCTCCATGTCAAAAAATTGGTTGTTGTCCACCGGGTGTAGATGGCAAGTAATGACTTGAACATTAGCTGAAACAAAAAAGCTTTTATTAATCACACAATGAACAACCTTTAGAAGTACATCATAATGCATATATATATACTAACAGATGTAATATAATATGTATGATCCTGTAAAAAGAAAAATAGCAATAAATATTTAAGGAATAGATTTCCAATGATAATGAATAATAAAGAAATGTCTCTTACCAGATGCAAGTGATAATCTTGCAGCCTGCTGTCAAACTAAAGGCTTATTGAACAGAATGTTGCTTGCACCAAATTGCATCTAGTTTTGACACCATTGTTGTCAATAGTAGAAATTACCTTGTCAATACATTGTTCCTCATTTTCAGTAATCAGAAAACATTCATTAGATCTAAACTAAAACTAAAATTCTCACTAAAAGGTAGAATCCTTTACCTGTTGGAAAAGCACACATCCATATATAAAGCATCATGCATCTTCTGAGTTATGCCTAATTCACCCCAAGTTAACTTGATTAGCTTTAAATAATCCGCATCTTCCCATTGTTCTTCTAAAAGATTAAAAAATCACTCTCCATGCAACTCAGCAGATCAAGAACAGCCCTGTAGACCCATTGAAATGCTTCAATATGTCCACCAATGGCAGCTAGCACAAAACCGTTATCCAGACTCTAGCTTTTCCTTGCAACAACTCAATTACTACACATGTTCATACAAACAAACTCAACTCAAACATGATGAGCACGAGCAACTCGTTCAAAAGGATCAAACATTTGTCGCACACCATCATCAATGTTGTACTTGCTGTCTCAAGTCAAGGGTATTTAAGTAATTAATTAATATATTGAGTTAGTAGTTTATGAAATTAAAAAAAAGCCGAAAGAAGAGAACGTTTTATGGACATCCCTTTTTCTTTACCATTTGATAATTCCCACTTACTTTTTTCAAGGTTGATTGCTAGGTGTCTGTCTTCTTCAGTTGACTTAAAAGCTTGTGTCACACAACCATTCATCTACATCATCATATCTTAATATGTTATAAAATCATTAACAAAAAAAGGAATTCTTATATGAAACTATACATGTTCTTCTGAATGAGCAATCCATGATTTTAGTGATTCAAATGTTGAATTCATTTGCTGAATTCAATGAACGAGATCGGAAAGCGTTTCAAATTTGTCTCTTTCAAAAAAAAAGCGTTTCAAGTTTGTCTCCTGCAACAATAATGCACTTAATTAATAAGAGAGTTACAACATATATATGTTAGTGAGGATGAGAATGAAGGTAAACAAGTTCAAGTTATCAAGTCATTCGTAAGTTTTGTGTTCATGTAAAAGATAAATATCCAAAATATACAAGACATAAAAGAAACGTCATTAATTTTTTTCGATTGAGTTAACCGTCTTTATATTGAACTTCCAAATTAGAAAATGAAAGCAAGGGCTTTGGTAAATAATGGTGAACTAATTAATTAAATGGTTCCTACCTTTTACTCTTAAAGGTTAAAACTTAAAAGAAGGTAAGATTGTTTCAAAAACCGTTTATAAACAGCCAGTGAAAACCAAGCAGTTAAACTTCATAATTGGGCGAGATGATTATAGTAGACCCAGTTGGTTAATAGTTTGAAAAATAGAGTCCTTGAGTAATACTAGAATATGGCTTACCTCACGTTTTGGCTTTTATAAACTAAACAAACTAGGATAGTTTCTTAAAAGAAGCAATATTGTGGGAGTGGAGGGACTAATATTTCATTTGTTTTACTCATTCAGAAAACAGATCGAATATCTTTCTATCCCTTTCACCCTTTCACCCACTTATCAAATATGATATTTCTTAATTAATGACTACACCTTTGCTTTTCTTAAACCCAGTCATTAATAAGAAAACACAATAGCAACTTTGCTTTTCGTAAACCCAGACACAAATAAAAAAAGCTATATAACACAATATTGTTGGAACTTGGAATCGCATTATATATATGGAATAGCAATGTACTTTCATTGATTTTTTTATTAATAAAAAAAAACAGTTTTCAGTGATATATAATTTGGTAAAGAATTCAAACCTCTGTCCAAAACTGATGAATCAATGGAATATTATTACACTTGCAATGATTGTTAGTGAAGTGAATATCACATAATATATTGGGGAAACAATTGTTGTATTGAATGTATCAAAAGCCTGAAAATAGAGGTGGCCCACGTCAGTTTGCCACTTCAAAGGTTTATAAATTATGATAATACCCTTTTAATACAAGTTAAACAACATCTAAATATGTAACAAAAGAGTAAAATTCTAGGAATGTAACTTCTACTTCCATATTCACAAATATGGTCTCATTTTCACAAATATTTTTTGAACATCTTTTATCCAGATGTGTGCTTTGACTATTTGAAAAATAAAAAAGAACATGAACATTACCTTGTTAAGATAACTCAACTGTGTAATCACACATAACACAGCAACAGTAACAAATACCCAAGTTTGAGGATATGAAATCTGATTGATTCCCTCTAAAATAAGCTCTATTGCAATACCAACGGCCTTTATGCTTACAACCTACAAAATGAGAGAGGGGTACTTTAGTCAAAATCAAAAATGGACAGAATTTAGTAATGCTTATGCTTATGGTTAAGAAAACCAATGGCAGCAAAGAACATGCCAATAGCCATAAATGTCAAAGTCGGCCTGCATTTGTTCTAAGCCTTGAACTGAGTCATTCAAAATGATGTTTATAGCTAATAAGATCTTCTGAGTTCTGAATCAATTAAAAAAAATATTTTAATTTTTTTTAAAGTACCATAAAATTTTTAACTACTTACAACAATATTTTCAACTGTGAGACCAACCTCTTGCCATGGGTTTTTTATTGTGGTGGTGTGAGATTTGGAGTTGTTAAAAGCTTGAGTGGTTCCATGGGTGCAACTCCATCCAAACAAATTACATGATGGAAATCAATATAGTAACAGTTTTCTAATAACTTAGAAACAGAAACAGGAAGAGTAAACAAACAAAAACTGAAATGTAACAAAAACTTGCATTAATTCCTGTTAAAGAAAAGGATAAATAAGTCTTTTAGCCAAATAAAGAAAAGGGTTTTACTATTTTTTACCTCTGAAACAACAACACTCTCTACCCATCTTCTAGTTATTGTAGTAACTCGTAGTTTCGGTTGCCCATCAACACTCTCGTATCTGTACCAAAATGACCGTTTTACCCTTACAGTCTCAAACAAATAGTTTTAATGTGGGGAAAAAAAGGTGAGTTTACCTTGTGGTGGTTTGTATATACAACTGTGGATTTACATTTCCAGAATTATCTTTATCACTTGATGATATATCAAAGAAAACAGTCAAACAAGTTTCTTTATCAAGTCCACATAGCTTCCATGATGTGGTGATTCCTTGATCTATCATGATGTGTTTGCAACAGTAGGTCCTTTCTGCAACATAAATAGACAACAAAAAAAAAATTATATACAAACTGGTAAAGATTAATGAACAATTTAGTAAATGACTAAATTGCCACCTTATCCAAGGATGTGCAAGGTCCTATTATCCCCTGAATCTTGATATCCTTTGAACATGTAATATCAAGTGTGCCACTGAAAGTAATATAATCACAATTCACAAATTCATTATACATTTATAGTTATACATCAAATAATACGATGATAAATTATAATATATTCATCTTATGTACTCACTTATGAGCAAGACCAAGAGACTCTTCTCCTTTCTCAAAGACACGTTTGAATGAATCTTTAAAAACTGAATGACCAAAGCTTTCAGCTAAAAACAACAAGTCCAGCAGTTCTTTCAATAATCACCTTCATTTCTGCAAGTCCAACCTAAGAATATAAAAAAGGTTCAGTTAAGAACAGAATAATGGAATGAATAGCAGAGTTAAGAGAATGAATGTTGACTCGCTCAAGGGCAAAAGAAAAAAGATCCAAAACATGACCCTGGATGACCATTTGCTTTGCAAGTTCTTCATAAAACTGAACTGCTTTTCTGAAATACGGTGCATCATCTTTGTCCAGATCTTTATGTGAACGAACAGGATCTGAGAGATCTTTGGAGATAATCTGAAAGAAGATTGAAAGGAGATGGAAGTTTGGGTTTAATGGGAAGTAGAAATGATTCAATGGAAAAATGGATATCAAAATGGCTTACTAAACCAGGGCCTTCTGTGCAGGGACCTCCGATTAGTGCCACCATACGAGCACCTATTTCAGGCAAGCAAGTTGCAACACTCAATGCGACTCCAGTACACCTTAATGAACAATTTGATTTTGAAGAGACAAACCGACAGTCTTTGACATCGGATATTGAAAATGAAATACAGATTTCGGTGAAGCTAATGGATGATTCTGATGTAGACGATTGGCATTCAGATGATGACGGAATAGATCATAGTCAAAAGGAGGCCCAAAATTCTTCGCAATTACCAGTTGCTGAAGAGATGAACAAACAGACAGTCGTCGGATTTTAAGATTGAACTACCGATCACCTTTAACTTACACGATACTTGAATCGTACCTATCTAGTGCTTCATTATTTCATAGATGGCGATAGGAGAAGTCGTAAAACCCTTAATATCCTTGTAAGTCCAACATAGGCACAATGTAACGAGCCCTAAATTGTAGTCTTGTGAGCACGAGTATCCGTAAGTGGTTGGCTCTTAAACGAAGGCTTGTACACTTGAGTAGTCATCGTAGTCTCGGTGAGGTGAGGTGAGGTGGACTCGAGGTTGCCGGCGGTAAGAGGTAAGCGGAGGTCGTCGGTGGGAAGAGGTGAGTAGAGCACATCCTTTTAAAAAAACCCTAGATCCCTATTTTGTTATAAGATAAATAGTCAGCGCGCTCATTTTAAGAATTATAAAGCGACATACCTGCACGACACGCTTTATTTAATAGTCACCCTCCGTGTTTTTATTTTTATTTTTCTGACACTAATTTTAGGTCACGCAAAAATGCGTATCCTAAATCCTTCACATTTTTTGGGAGATGATATTATTTTTAGGGAACTCACTTTTCGGTATCATAAATCACCGCGTGTCATAGTTTGCGCATCATTAAAGGCCTATATTCTAGTAGTGAATATTTTTATTATTTGATTGTGTTCAACAAAATGTTAGTTATTTTTTAAATTTATATTCTCTAGAATAGTTCAATAAAAGATGTAATTAAATAAAACTTTGTCTTGTATATTAAAAAATATATAAAGGGTATTTCTGTCATATTATAAAATTTATGTTCCAATTTCTTTGTAAAATCAGCAAACCAATCAAAAAACAGATTCCATTCATTGTCCTCCAAACACATTTCAGCTTCTAATACATTCTGATTCTAATTCCTTTGGATTCCAATTCTTTTGACAAATTTCATTCCTTCAAAAAACATTTTGCGAAACAAATGCCCCCTAAGTTAATTACATAGTGTGATTTAATTATTAATCAATAACACTCTTGTGTTTACTATAAATCTAGTGGGAGCACAATAACATTCCTAGTCTTATATGTAGTTGACATACTAATTTTTGGAATAAAGATATATATATATATATATATATATATATATATATATATATATATATATATATTATGACAACTTAAAGGATTAAGTAAAATTGCATTGAGTGTCAAGGATCTTAAAGAAATTAAGATATAAGACTCTAAGAGAGTTTATCTTGTCCAATACTACATGACATGATTTTGAGCATTCCTCAAAATCCTAGTACAATGTGTTGAACTAGATAATATGATTGTATTCCATATGTTGTTGCAATTAGATTAATCATATATGTCATGATTATGCATGAAGGCCAGATAAATCGTATGCTTAGAGCATGTCGAATGATACAAGTATAAACCGAGAACAAGTCATGGTATGAGATATATGAACATTCTAAGGTGCTTGCGAGAACTAGAGAAATATTCATAATCTGTGGAGTATTTGCAACAAAGTTATATTTAAAGCTATTGCACAAGTGCTAGCTTCTAAATACATTGAGATGATTCTAAATCACAATCGGGTGTGTACTCATTACGAATGAAGGAGAAAGTTACATGGATAGTGTTTCTATGTATACTTTATTTACAGTTACACAAAGAGTTATAGTACATTATTGTTTGGAGAACCACATGCAAAAATACTTAATGTATAGTTAATTATGACTATGAATAATCCCACTATGCAAGTATTGTTATCTAAGTCATATTTAAGAAGCTAATACATTCTCAATAGTTTTCTCTATATATGAGTTATATGTATATATATATATATATATATATATATATATATATATATATATATATATATATATATATATGAGAATGTTTGTATTCACAAAGTTTATACAAATCAAGTTTGTCAAATCTACTTAACAAAGCTCCTTTATTAGCTAAAGCATGAAAGTCAAGTTGGTGCTATGGGGCCTTGTTGGTATAAGTAGATATATTTAATTGAAATTTAGTATTTTGTATATTGGAACAGTACGAGCAACATATACTGTAATGAATTGATATATACTGGATATGAGTCTTTAGTTGAATAATTGTTGTGTTCTATTTTAGCATGTTTAAATCGTTGAATAACTAGGTTATTCGAAATGTCCATAGTCGTACATAGTTGTGGGAGCATATATGAGGTAACACTAATATGATTAGATTGGTTGATTTTAATGGAGTTGAAAATAGCAAGAGCTACTACAAAATTGATAAGTACTTGATTAGGAGAATAAGTTTTGGACTTGACCCGCATTAAAACTACTTTTATGGATAATATTCATGAGTGATGTTTAGATCAAGGTTGTATCTTTGTATTCTTAGATCTGAGATACATATTTGGGACTTGAAGTGTAGGAATTGTTGTGCTTTGACATGGTTTAACGTTGTTCCATAAAAGGCAGTCATAAGGGCCATCGTTGGGTATAACGTTAACTACATTGATGGGCGTATGTAGTCAACATGGGATTTGTTCCTCTTGTTCGTAGAAAGTTAGACATCTAAGGCCTTACTCAAATTTAAACACTAAATGAGATTGATCGCTAACCATATCTCATGTTCAACATGATGTCTGAGACAAAGGAATAACTGATACCACACCTTTATTAGCAATTGTTGCTTAGAGCTCCAGAAATTGGTTGTTGATGAGGAGGCACCCTTCATATGTTGTTAGGGGCAATAACTCGTTGCTCGATGTTTGTTATTGTCTATGTCAGTATGTAATCAATCTTGTGCAAATGGGAGATTGTTGAATCTATATGCCCAAGAATCATTATTAAGTGACATTACTAATAATATATGATCATATAGGGTCACATGTTTATCAAGTTGGCACATTTTGCATGTTGATTATTAATATGACTACTAATAAATAATATGAATTCTTGTATTTAATTAGGGAATAATTATTGTTTTGTGAAAATAATAATTATAAGAGAGTATAACTAGTTATTATGTCATATGGTATGAATTAATAAGTCATGCAAACCCTTTTGGACTAGTTGGATCGTTTTGTCTTTTACCTAAACACAAAGTTTATATTTTATAAACTTTGAGTTTATATAAAGAAATGGATCATTCTCTTTTGAGGGGTATGGCCTAAACTAAGTGAGGGCATGGGAGGTTGCTTTTCAACCTCCCTCATTTATCCCCCATGCCTCTAAAGTAAGGTGATTAATTTGTATTATTTAATTAGGTTGATTTTGCTTTTGGATTGGTATATAAGAGAGTGTTTTGCATGAGTTTTTGGCTAGTTTTGTAGTCAAATCTCTCCATTTCTTCATTTGTTGAAACCTCATTTCTGTCCTTCTTCATGTTGTCTTTTAAAGATTGTTTCCAGGTTAGAAACCTTCTTGAGTTGTCTGCTTTAGTGCATATTTGAGTTATGAACTTAAAGGCTTAAAAAAGTCAAGAATACAATAAGGAACTATCATTCCAAGTGCATTACTCTTGATGGTGGATACACATAGAGAAATCGTACTCTTTGATTTTTGTTGTCTTCATCAACACCCCAAAACCAAGTGGGTTGAAAGGCTTCAAAGGTTGTCATTCTAAAAACTATTGGTTGTTTTATTTCATTCTAACCTCTATAAATGGATCTTTGATTGTTTGGTTTTGTTATAAACTAAAAATAAACTTGTTATTTTTATAAGACTTCTGTTGTGGTTTTTGTGATAAACAAAAATATATCTTGTATCAAAACCCATCAAGTCTTTCATGTTTGTATGATTGGGTTGAAATAAACCCTAGAGTTTGGCCCATTATTTTATTATCAGGTTGAAATAAACCCCAGGGCTAGGCCCCAGGCCTGGTCCCATGATTATATGATGGGTTGAGAGAAACCTAAGGGCGAGGCCCATGATTGTATATTGGGTTGGAAAATATCCCAAGGTTAGTCTCAATTGTATGTTTGGTATGTAGTACTTTGGGGAACTCACTAAGCTTTGTTCTTACATTCGATGATTATGGTTTCAGGTACTTCCGGTACTAAAGGGAAGGGACCGGTGTGATGACACAACATCCCTCTCATGATTCTGCACTTATCATTATTTGTATTTTTATGTGTTTGACATTTTGTATTGTGGTTGACTTGGAGACACCAGATGTATGAAACTAATGGTTTTTAAAATGAAAATTGTGTATCACTGTTCTGGGATGTCACAAGTTGGTATCAGACCCATGGTTTGATGGATTCGGGCACACTTGCGGGTGTGTTAGAACTCAAACTAAGGAGTTGATAATCTTTTCAAAAGGAAAACGAAATTTTAAAATATTTAATAAGTAAAGAGGTGGTACGATGCGTGCAATCAGTCGGGCTCAAGGAACTGGTTCCCAAAATACCCATACCCATGTGTTATGATTAGGATGCCTCATATATGAACTGCATGCTAGAGTAGGGATAAGGATACCTTCAAGAATCGTATATTAGAATTTCTTGATTTGTGTGATGCCTTATAGCCTAGGAGGATTGGATGCTATGTGTTACTTGGAATTGATATCGGCTTATTTAAATTACTAAGTGTATG